ACGATGAAGCATGAGAAGTGGGCTGAGCTCGACAGCTTGCAGCAGTGGTCCCCAGCTGCGGCGCATAGGCGATGTGCAGCATCTCAGCCAGGGGGGATTTTGCTTGCCTAAAAGAGGCATTTCTTCAGGTAGATGGAGAGCAAGGTCTGCTGATGCTCTCAGCTTGCTGGCGGTGCCCATGGGCTGGCAGAGGCTGAGGACCATGGCTTTCAGGAGCAGATACTCAGCAGAACTGGATCTCAGGCATCCCAGAGCAATGGACGCTTGCAAAACCTGAACGTAAGGCGTCCTTTTTGCTCCAAACAATATTCATACATCGCTTTAACCTTCTGCAAACAGAGTGAAAAGCTGCCCGTGCTCAGTGCCTTTGCTCTCGCATCAGCAGTGTGCCCTTTGCCTGAGCGCAGTGCCAGGGAAAGGTGGAGCCTCTCAGTTTCCTTGGAGAGAGCTCCCCCGAGGGCAGGGCTCGGCCTGGCGAGCAGGACTCTCCCTCTCGTCAGCTGCTCTGGCTGCGTTTTGGCAATAAGGAAACACCTGAGCAAGCTTTTTCCAAAAGACAGATGCTTGTAGCAAAGGCCGGGGAGGGAGAGCACATCACCTGTGAGCTGTATTTGGCTCTGATTTTTTTCCCTGCCCCCCATCTCCCTGATTGTAAGGCATTCTCAGGGTAAGTACTGACCGTTTCCCAGCGGTTTACAAGCTGCCTCTTGCAAACTGTTCCCAAGGTAGCGCTGGGGCTGGTCAGACCAGGTGCAGAGAGCGTGCCCTCTTGTCCCGGGGACGCGAGGCTTCATTAAGATCTTCTGCCTCCTGACCTTGCTCAGCACTGCACTCCTGCAACTTGGACCGTTTTAGTCTCAAGCCTCCTTTTTTTTTCCTAGGGTTGAGAGTAGGCCTCGTCTCGGAGGCAGATTTTCAAGTCAGCCCTTTCATCTGCCCCCATGTGAATCGAACTCGGGAGACATCACAGGCTGGCTGCTGCTGCTGCTCTTCCCAAAACCACTCTCTAACCTCTCTCTGAAGGAATGTGTGTGTGGACCCGGCCTGTCCTTAGTGTCAGCTCCCTTTGGCACCTCGCAGCCCTCCTGCCAGGCCGTCAGCTTCAAATTGTGCCCTACCAGCACGAACTGTGCTGCCTTCAGGTGTTGCTATTCTCTTTCCTCCCTTTTGGCCCATTCACAGCAAGCAAATGGGGGCATCATCAAAGCTAAGTCCCAGGAAGAGAGCAGAGCTCTCTCTCTACCCACCCCTGCTTTAGCGTGGTTCTCAGAGGCAGCCTGCGTAAATCGGATGTCTATCTTGCCCAGGGCAAATGGGTGAAGTGTATTTGCAAGCTTTCTGTATTAGTCATGGTGGGAGGATTGAAATAAGAAAATGGTCTGTGGTCTGCAACCTCCAGATGTGTTCTGTATTTTGCTGTGTGCTATAACAGCCAGAAAGCAGAGCACGGGCCAGTCTCGGTGTGTACAGTCTTAAATACGACCTGGGTCCGGAAATCCATGGGTGGAGCATAAAAGCAGAGAAGAGCAGTGCAGACGGAGGGGAAAGCATGGTCGTAAGGGTGTTGTGTAGGACGGCAGCTCTGGCATTTGGTGTCGGCTGGGTGGGACCCACAGCTCTGAGCCTCAAACTGCTTGCTGTCTTGGGAGCTGGGTGTTTTGCAGAGGTGTTGGTCTGCAGCTCCGGTGACTTTTAACACCTCATCCCTTTCACACCCCTTCAAAGCTAGAGGGCGAAACCATTTGGCCAGAGATGCCCATGCTAAAACCTTGGTGAGCCGGATTGGCCTTTCCTTGTGAGCTAGTGGCCCAGATTTAAAACCCCGAGTTGTACCAATTTAACTTGGGGTGTGTTTTGAAACTGGTGCAAAACTCCTGGGTGGCTCTTCTCCGATTCCTGCTAGGTTTATACCCCCAAGCTCCTCAGTGCATGCTTAAGGCAGTTCTAAGCAGGGATGTTCACCCAGGGCTTGTAAAGTAAATCCGAGTAAAATTGCACCTTTGGGCTCCGGTGTGTAGACCAAGCACAGGATCTTTGTGCATGCCTGGAGCTTAAACCCACCTGTTCCCCGTGTGAGGTTCTCAGATAGTAACTGGGGAAAGGTCAGAAGATCCATGAGGACTGAGACGAGCAGGAGCAGTGGCTGAGCTGGGAGAGATCCTCTTTGCGTGCAAATGCTTATTAAGAGATGAAAGGAAGCTTGCTTTCCCTCCAGGAAATAACATGTAAGCAGAATTGTTTCTAAACCAGTGACTTTTTCCCCTGAGCTTCCCAGGAGGTCTCCCAAGTTCTTTCAACATAAGGTTAAGTAGAGCTGCTCAGAGGAATAAACATTTGCAGCAGCGGCAAAAGTTGAAGAGAACAGATCGCATGAAAAGTCAATGTTGCCGTTGCCCTTCCACTTAAGAGGCGATGCATGGTAATAACAAATATCGGCACTTCCACGTCGCAACCGTGTGAATCCTTCCTGGAGGTCGCTGGGCACAGGACGGGGGAAGCTCCGGCTTCTGACTCCCGGGATCCTACCGCTCCTCATATGATCGCTGCCTCCTGTGCCTGTTTCAGCTTTCCAGTCGTTTACTCTGGTGACTCAGCTGATTTTGAAACCTTTCAGAGTAGCTGTTGTAGAATCACAGAAAATTCAGGCTGGAAGGGACCTCGGGAGGTCACATCTAGTCCAACCCCCTGCTCAGAGACTTTGGGAAACTGAAAAGGGCTGCAGTTCCCACCTCAGAGGCTTGCAGCCGCACCCCTCAGGCTTGAACTCACACCCTCGTGGTCCCCAGTGGGTCTCTCAAGCCCCTGGACCCCAGAGCCCGGTTGTGGAGGGGGCTGGACACACAATTCCACTTTCAGGTTTACAGCTTTTTGTTTCCTGTGTACTTCGGTCCAGCTGAGGAACATTTAGAAATGCATTATCAGACACTGAAGCAGAGAACATGCTGTACAGTTAAAGTCCAGCTTCACTGGGAACAAACACCAAAGCCCTGGGACATCAGCAGAGTCGTCCATGCACGAGTGAACTTGGATTTTTCTAAAGTTTTAAAACCTTACCAAATACTATCCCTTTTATATTAAAAAAGCACGTGCGTGCACATGCACATACATACACACCTGCCATTTAAATGGCTGCACATGTGCGTGTGCGCACATACAGACCACGTGCACCCCCCTGCTATTTAAATGGCCAATTTGCAGACCAGCATTTGGGATGGTTTCATCATCGTTTTCATTCCTTTAACCCATAAATCTCAGCCGTGTGCAGAAATGCTGTTCCTCGTTAGAGGTTTAGCTCTTCTCTCTGACTGCTGTGGTTCTGTTGGAGTGAGTCCCTAAGCAAAAAGCAGACTAAGTTGTGCAGCTCTGGGAGCTAAGACAGGAGTACACAAAAAGCACACCACTTTTTGGGAGGGGTGGGGGAAGAGGAGGGGAGTTTCCTCCTGTCACCACGGCTGGTCGCCTTGCTTTCCCCCTTGGGTGCTTCCTATCAGTCTGACTTGTTTTTCCTGCTCAGCACTTGTTCCCAGCCTGACTCGAGCGCGTTGCTTCCTCCCCTGGCCTCCACCCCAGGCAGCGTACAACTCTCTGAGTGTGTAACCAGTTAGTGACATGGTTGAGTTGTGGTTTGTGCCTGCACGTCTGCTATAATAATGGCTGGGTTGTCTCTCGTGGTTAGCACGTGGTTAGTAACGGAGGCAGCTGAGGGTTTCACCTCTGCCAAGTGACTTGGCTAGCGCATCTTTTGTCATTCAAGATTGAACTGTGGGTGAAATCCCCAGTTGTGCCTCCACAGCCAGCGCAGGGGACCCTCCTTCCAGCGTGGCGCGATAGAATGGGCCAGGGCTGGCAGGAAGGCAGCACAAACCAGGCAACAGGTCAGGGACCCTGGTTGCATCAGCAGCTGTGAAGCTGTCAACTCGGTGTCTGCTGTTCAATATAGTCTTTGAGTAAAAAAGTAGGGGCCCAGTTCTGGGCTTCTCTGCGAAGTAGATCCCACACCCGTTCTTATGCTGCTTTTGGGCTATTTTGGGCTGCCACTGATTCCACAGCACAGTCCTGGGATAACCGTTCATAGAAATCATAGACCCGCTCTCAATCTCCATAGGTCACTTAGTCCAACTTCCTCCCTGAGACAGGATCGTCCCTATCCAAACTATCCTATGCAAATCCATAACCTAACCTCTTAATAAAACTACTGTCAGCCCTGACAGCGCAAGACATAACGTCCTGACTTGCTACACAGGTAAAGCAAGGGCAGCCAGTATCCTGCTTCTGTCAGAGGTCGTTAATAATACGCCCAAGAGATCCCAGGCCGAGGGCCACATCCCCTGCTACAGAGGAAGGCACAAATCACAGACTTACTTGGGGATGTCCTGGGATAAACTGTTAACACTTTGTATGATGGGAACTTTTTTAGTATTTATCCCAGGGCAAGGGACATGAGTGCCTGAACGATTGCACTATCCTGGGATAAAATGGCTTATGCCAGGACAAATGCAATGTCTGTTTGTAGCCTTTGTGCCCATCTGATCCGTGCTCTGAAGCAAGCTGAGAACTGCCTGGCCGGTCCCAGAATCTGCGCTACGAACACAGCGGGAGCAGCAGAAAGCTTATGATCTGGGCTCCACCTGGAACATAACTTGTAATGACTGAAAGGGACCCGCTTCTCACTTGTTACAGACTCACGGCTGGAGCTGCAGCGTGGGCCGATTGCCTGTCACAGCCTCCTCCTCCAGGCTTAGCACTTCCAATTGTTCGTTGTGAGCAGCAGTGCTCAGTGAGGGGGCTCCTGGGAGACGGTAAATGAGAGTGAAAGTCGGGATCGTAAAACTGAGATGCCACATTGATAAACCATTTTGAGGAGTAATTTACATCTCGTTAGCATTTGTGTTCCAGCACAAAGTATTAAATTATATTGACAAGTTCCTTCTTGAACTCAGTTAGACTTGTCCTGTAATGCCAGAGCTGTAATACTGGTTGTTCTTTTTTCTTTTTCCTAGGGGGGAATTCAGCCTGTCCAATTACAAGGATCAGCGTGAGCTGAGCTGCTGCCGGTACATACGTTATGGGAACAACAAACTTGATTGCCCTTGCCATCTGCCTGGATTGATAACTGTCACCCCTCTTCCAATAAGCTCTGAAAGTCGCACGGGTTACTGAAAACACTAACCTCTCGGCAGCAGTTGACTGTGGCAGGATGTGTGGACGATGATGATGGCAAGAAAGCAAGATGTTCGTATTCCCACCTACAACATTAGTGTGGTGGGATTGTCCGGGACGGAGAAGGAGAAGGGGCAGTGTGGCATCGGGAAGTCCTGCCTCTGCAATCGCTTTGTCCGGCCTAGCGCAGATGACTTCCATTTGGACCACACTTCCGTTCTCAGCACCAGTGACTTTGGAGGGAGGGTCGTTAATAATGATCACTTCCTTTACTGGGGCGAAGTGGTTCGTTCCCTGGAGGACTGCGTGGAATGTAAAACGCATATTGTGGAACAGACTGAATTTATCGATGACCAGACTTTTCAGCCGCATCGAAGCACGGCCCTGCAGCCCTATATCAAAAGGGCAGCTGCAACCAAACTTGCGTCAGCTGAAAAGCTCATGTATTTTTGCACTGATCAGCTTGGGCTGGAACAGGACTTTGAACAGAAACAAATGCCAGACGGAAAGCTGCTCATCGACGGCTTTCTCCTCTGCATTGACGTTAGTAGGGGCATGAACAGGAATTTTGATGATCAGCTGAAGTTTGTTTCCAATCTTTACAATCAACTTGCAAAAACAAAAAAGCCCATTGTGGTGGTCCTGACAAAGTGTGACGAAGGCGTGGAGCGGTACATTCGAGATGCACATACTTTTGCCTTAAGCAAAAAGAACCTCCAGGTTGTGGAGACCTCTGCAAGGTCCAATGTGAACGTTGACTTGGCTTTCAGCACTTTAGTGCAGCTAATTGACAAAAGCCGGGGGAAGACTAAAATTATCCCCTACTTTGAAGCCTTGAAACAGCAGAGCCAGCAGATAGCTACTGCAAAAGATAAGTATGAGTGGCTGGTTAGCCGCATTGTCAAAAATCATGGTGAAACATGGTTGAATGTCAGCAGAAAGATGCAGTCCTCTCAAGAATATTTGGACTACGTCTATCTGGAAGGAACCCAGAAAGCCAAGAAGCTGTTTCTCCAACACATTTATCGTCTCAAACATGAGCACATCGAACGCAGACGGAAGAAGTATCTCGCTACTCTTCCTCAGGCGTTCGACGCCCTCATCCCCGACCTGGATGAAATCAATCACCTGAGCTGCATAAAAGTCGAGAAACTACTGGAGGCAAAGCCAGACTTCTTGAAGTGGTTCGTTGTCCTGGAAGAGACGCCCTGGGATGCGACCAGCCATATAGACAACATGGAAAACGAGCGCATTCCTTTCGACCTGATGGAGACTCCGCCCGCAGAACAGCTTTATGAAGCCCACTTAGAAAAGCTGAGGAATGAGAGGAAAAAAACCGAAATGAAAAGGCTCTTCAAGGATAACCTGGAGACTTCCCCTTTCATAACACCTGGAAAGCCATGGGAAGAGGCTCGGAGTTTCATCATGAATGAGGATTTTTACATGTGGCTGGAGGAATCTGTCTATATGGACATCTACAGCAAACACCAAAAACAAATCATAGAGAAGGCAAAAGAGGAGTTACAGGAACTACTTCTGGAGTATTCGGAGTTGTTTTATGAGCTAGAGCTCGATGCCAAGCCCAGCAAGGAGAAAATGGGTGTCATTCAAGATGTGTTGTGTGAAGAGCAAAGATTTAAAGCACTACAGAAGCTGCAAGCGGAGAGAGATGCCCTTATTCTGAAGCACATTCATTTTGTATATCACCCGACAAAGGAAACATGTCCTAGCTGCCCTGTGTGTATAGACTCAAAAATTGAACACTTGATTAGTTCCAGGTTTATCAGACCATCCGAGCGCAATCAGAAGAACTTTCTGTCGGATTCCAACATAGATAGGATCAACCTGGTTATACTCGGCAAAGACGGCCTAGCGCGCGAGTTGGCAAATGAGATTCGAGCTCTTTGCACGAACGATGACAAGTACGTGATAGACGGCAAAATGTATGAACTTTCCCTGAGGCCAATCGAAGGTAACGTCCGACTGCCCGTTAATTCTTTCCAGACGCCAACGTTTCAGCCTCATGGTTGTCTCTGCCTTTACAATTCAAAGGAATCTCTCTCTTACGTTGTGGAAAGCATTGAAAAAAGCCGAGAGTCGACCCTTGGCCGAAGGGACAACCACTTGGTTCATCTTCCTCTGACACTAATCCTGGTCAACAAGCGAGGAGACACCAGTGGGGAAACACTACATAGCTTAATACAGCAAGGGCAGCAGATCGCTAGCAAGCTACAGTGCGTCTTTCTTGACCCTGCTTCCGCCGGCATTGGGTACGGGCGTAACATTAATGAAAAGCAAATCAGTCAAGTTTTGAAAGGGTTGCTAGACTCGAAGCGGAACTTGAACCTGGTCAGTTCCACATCTAGCATCAAAGATCTGGCAGACGTGGACCTTCGCATCGTTATGTGTCTGATGTGTGGAGATCCTTTTAATGTGGACGACATCCTCCTGCCTGTCCTCCAGTCCCAGACCTGCAGACCCTCTCAGTGTGGAAGCAGCAGCTCCGTTCTTCTCGAGCTCCCAATAGGACCGCACAAAAGGCGTATCGAACTCTCCATCCTTTCGTACCATTCCTCGTTCAGCATTAGGAAAAGCCGTTTAGTCCATGGGTACATTGTATTTTACTCGGCCAGGCGTAAGGCGTCCTTGGCTATGTTACGTGCCTTTCTTTGTGAAGTGCAGGATATTATCCCCATCCAGATCGTGGCGCTCACAGATGGCTCGATGGACATCCTTGACAACGATTTGAGTAGAGAGCAGTTTACAGAGGGAGAAGAGATCGCGCAGGAGATAGATGGAAAGTTTACGACGATACCTTGCAGCCAGCCTCAGCACAAGCTTGAGATCTTTCACTCATTTTTTAAAGACGTGGTGGAGAAAAAAAACATAATCGAAGCCACTCACATGTACGACAATGCTGCTGAAGCGTGCAGCACGACAGAAGAAGTGTTCAACTCGCCCCGGGCTGGCTCGCCCCTCTGCAATTCCAATCTCCAGGATTCAGAAGAAGATATCGAGCCTCCATCCTACAGCCCATTCAGAGAAGACACATCTATGCCCACCTTGTCCAAAGATCATTCTAAACTTTCCATGGAGCTGGAGGGGAACGATGGTCTGTCTTTCATTTCTGTTATGAACACTTTTGACAGCAAGCTGAACAACAAAGTACCTCCTCCGGTGAAACCAAAGCCCCCTGTCCACTTCGACATTACAAAGGGGGATCTGTCGTATTTGGAACAAGGGCATCGAGATGGACAGAGAAAGTCTGTTTCTTCTAGTACCTGGTTGCCCCCGGATGGTTTTGATCCTTCTGATTATGCCGAGCCTATGGATGCTGTGGTCAAGCCAAGGAACGAGGAGGAGAATATATACTCCGTGCCTCACGACAGCACCCAAGGCAAAATCATCACCATTCGTAACATTAACAAAGCCCAGTCCAACGGCAGCGGGAATGGTTCAGACAGTGAAATGGACACAAGCTCTCTGGAACGTGGGCGAAAAGTGTCCATCGTTAGTAAGCCCGTGTTGTATCGGACGAGGTGCACACGGCTTGGGAGGTTTGCCAGCTACAGAACCAGCTTCAGTGTTGGTAGTGATGACGAACTGGGGCCTATTAGGAAGAAAGAGGAAGACCAGACGTCCCAAGGATATAAGGGGGATAATGCTGTTATTCCGTACGAGACTGCTGACGGCGAAGACCCGAGGAGGAGGAACATTCTGCGCAGTTTAAGAAGGCCAGCCAAGGTAAGCCTCATCTGTGGCCTGCGCTTGTAGGACGTGCAGGGCACGTGTTAAAACCGTCGTCTTTTTTCCTCAGCATAGAAAAGAGCAACACTTTTGAAGCACAAAGCAGGTTGTAAACTTTGTGCCTTGACTTGCATTTCTCTTAGGTTCTGCGGTTTCCAGATAAGAGCAGCGGAGTATGACCTAGAACAAGCTTTCTCCGTCATTTGTATTTCTATGCTTATAAAGTTGCTCTTTCCTACATGCGTTTCTAATTTAGGAATCGTTGACTTGTACTCCAGTCAGGGAGGTAAGAAGGGAAGCAAGAGCAGATAGCTCACTGCTAACAAACATTCATTTCCTAGACATCACAGAGCAGCAGGGCTGGAAGGGCCCTCCGTAGGTCATCTAGGCCAACCCCCCACCCAAGGCAGGATCATCCCTATCCAAACCATCCTATACAAATCCATTGTCCAGTCTCTTAGTAGAACGGGGTAGAAATACCGTGAATAAGGGAGACTTCTCCCAAGAAGCATTGCTTTTTTTCAGCCTTGATAAACATTTATTTTTCTGAATGTTCTTGTCACTTGCCTTGAGTTGAATAATTTAGCAATTTGATATGGAGGCAAGGGATGGTTCGGTAAAACTGATACTGCTTCAAAGGGAGCCTAAAATGGTTTGTTACCCCAGCAGCGGTGGTTCCCTGAGCTTCCTAACCCCCGAGTCCTGCCCCCTGTGTCCCTTCTTCTCTTTCAGTGCATAGAAGATGGCATGGTCCCTTGTGGTCAAGAGGACATCTTGACCACGGCAGATGAAGCAAGCTCAGGGCACGTCGTGCCCTTCCTTCATCTTTTTTTGCTCTTTGCGATTTGCCTTTTAACATCATTCTCTAGTCTGAAGCTTCCCAGTTTTCCTCCCAGCCATCCTCT